TGACTCCTGACCTCAGGTGATCTGCCTGCCTCGGCCTCGCAGAATGCTGGGATTACAGGCGTGAGCCACTGCACCCAGCCTAAATTTTTTTTATTTCGCTAGCTGAAACTTTCAGTACAACATTGGGTTGAACTGGCATCCTTACTTTGTTCCCAGTCTTAAGTGGGAGGCATTCAGTCTTTCATTTTATGTTAGGGGTAGGTTTTTCATTTATGTCTTTTATTAGGTTGAGGAAGTTTTCTTCTGTTCCTCACATATTGAGAGTTTTTATTGTCAATAGGTGTTGTATTTTATTAAATGCTTTTCTGCATCTGTTGAGATGGTCATGTGCTTTTTGTCCTTTGTTTATTAATATGGATATTAAAAACTTGATCTTAAAAATCAGCCTACATGGTGCTTTGACATTATTTGATTTTGCACCCCTGGGATGAATCCCACTTAGTCATGGTGTATGAGCCTCTTTGTATATTGCCAGATTCAACTTGCCAATATTTTGTTGAGGACTTTTGTGTCTGCATTCATGAGAGATACTGATCTGTCATTTTCATTTCTTATGATGTCTTTGTCTCGCTTTGGTGTTAGGAAAGTAGTGGCCTTGGAGAATGAAGTGGGAAGTTTCTGTGTTTTTTGAGTTTGCAAAGAATAAGTATTTCTTTCTAAAATATAGAATTTGTAAGCCAAACTGTCTAGGCTTCGGCCTTTCCTTGTGGGAAGGACTTTAATTAATAATTCAATTTATTTATATTAAATATAAATAGACCTGTTCATATTTTCCGTGTCTTTCGTAAGTTTTGGAAATTTCTGTCTAGGAATTTGTCCATTTTATCTAAGTCATTTAGTTTGTTGGCATCAAGTAATGTTCACCCTATTCCCTCATAGTCCTTTTAATTCCTGTAGTGTCAGCAGTGCAATCTTTTTTCATTCCTGAGTTTGTTTGTGTCTTCTTTCTTATTTTCTTGGTCAGATAGTCACTTTATGGTTTCATTGATTTGTTTCTCTATTGTTTTTCTTTTTTGTGTTTTATTGATATTCACTGTAAACTTTACACTGAAAAACTTTTCTGTTTTTCCTCCTTGCTTGGGGTTAGTTTGCTCTTTGTCTAGTTTCTTAACATGGAAGCTTAGATTATTGATTTGAGACCTTTCCTGAGAATAAGCTATAACTTTTCCTCTAAGTATTTCTGTAGTTGTACATTATAAATTTTGATAATGTTGTTTTTTCATTTTCATTCAGTTGGAAAGATTTTAAAAATGTTTTAAATGACTTCTTCCTCTACCCCTGGGCTATTTAGAAGTATGTTGTTTAATTCAAAATATTTGGATTTTTCTATATTTTTTTCCATTTGAGATCTTTAACTTCTGTTGTGGTCAGAGAACATACTTTTTATGATTTCAGTCTTTTAAAATGTATTAAGACTTGTTTTCTGGCCCAGCATATGAGAATGTTCCATGTGCGCTTGAAAAGAATATATATTCTGCTCTCATTGTGTGGAATATTCTATAAATGTCAGTTATATCAAGTTGGTTGATAGTGTTGTTAAAGTCTTCTATATCGTTTCTGAGTTTCTGTGTAGTTTTCTATTAATTATTAAAGGCAGAGTATTGAAATCTCCAAGTATTTTTCCTGAATTGCCTGTTTCTCCTTTCAATTTTTGCAGTTTTTGTTTCATTTTGGGCCTCTATTGTTACATACATATACATTTAAAACTTTTATATCTTTATGATATACTGATGATTATGAACTGATGATTATGAAACATATGATATACTTTTATGATTATAAAGTATCCTTCATTGTCTCCAGTAATATTTATTATCTAAGAGTCTTTTTAGTGTGATATTAATATGCCATTCCAGCTCTATTGTAGTGACTGTTTGCATGGCATATCACCTTCTGACCTTTTACTTGTAACCTATTAGTGTATTTTTTCTATAAAGTGTTCCTTTTGGACAAAGCATGTAGTTAGGTCTTGCTTTTTAAATCCAGTTGTAAGCAGGGCTAACCCTGCTTTTTAAGTGAATTGTTTCATCCATTCATATCTGATCTAATTGTTGGTATGGTTTGATGTAAGTCTGTGATTTTGCTAATTATTTTGTGTTTATCTCATGTTATTTTTGCTTCTCTGTTCTTCCCTTACTCCTTTCCTTTGTATAAATAAAAATATTTTGGGGAATAATTTCAATTTGTGTTTTTATTTAACTGCATGATTTTGAGTTATTTTCCTAGTTGTTTTAGGAATTACAATATGCATCTGAATTTATCACAGTCTGCTTCACAACAATACTCATTTTAATTCTAGCAAAATGTAAAAACTTTGCTCCGTTATATCTATTTTTCATTTGTGTTACTATTGTTAAATATATTACATCTATGTATGTTGTAAGCCCATCAATACAATATTATAATTTTTGCTTTATGTAATCATATCTTTTATAAAATTTAATAGAAGAAATAAAAAATATATTTACAGAGTTTTTTACATTTACCCACCTATTCACTATTTTTTACACTCTTTATTTCCTCATGCAGTTTCAGGTTACTGTCTAATATCACTTCCATTATCTTTATTTCATTTTTATTTTTGAAGGAAAGTTTTGCAGGGTGTACTTCTTAGTTGCCAAGCCTTCCCTGCCTCCCCCAGGACTTTAAATGTATCATTGATTTCACTACTCTGTGGTCTCCATGGCTTCTGATGAGATATAAGCCATTAATTGTATTGTTATTCCTGTGTACATGATAAAATCATTTTTCTCTTGCTACTTTCAGGATTTATCTTTCAACGGTTTGTCTCTGATGTGTCTGTGTGTATATCTCTGTATTTGTTCTATGTTGAGTTGAATAGCTTTGTTCTGTAAATTAATGGTTTTCATCAAATTTAGTAAATCTTTGCTCATTATTTTTTCAAATATTTTTTTGTGCCCATTTCTCACTTTGCGTCACCTTCTGTTGCTCTTATGACACATACATTAGTACGCTTGATATTGTCTGTTAGTCCTCTGAACCTTTGTTCATTTTTCTTCAGGTTTTTCCCCTATGTTATTCAGGTTAAATAATTACTATTGATCTATCTCAAAGTTACTGATTTTTTTTTTTTTTTTTTTGAGACAGAATCTCACTCTGTCACCAGTCTGGAGTGCAGTGACATGATCTGGGCTCACTGCAACCTCTGACTCCTGGGTTCAAGTGATTCTCCTGCCTCAGCCTCCTGAGTAGCTGGGACTACAGGCGCACGCCACAGTGCCCGGCTAATTTTTGTTTTTTAGTAGAGATGGGGTTTTACCATGTTGGCCAGGATGGTCTCCATCACTTGACCTCATGATCTGCCCGCCTTGGCCTCCCAGAGTGCTGGGATTACAGGTGTTAGCTACCATACCCAGCCGTTACTGATTGTTTTTCTGCTGCCTCACATCTACTATTGCACCCTCTGGTGATATTTTCATTTCAGTTATTAAACTTTTCATCTCCAGAATTTCCATTTGATATCTTTAAAAAGAATTTCCATCTTTTTACTGAGATTCTGTATTCACTGAGTCATTTACTAATTCTTTAAATATGGTTTTTAGTTTTTTGAGCATATTTATAATAGCTATTTTGAAATCTTTGCTAAATCAGTATCTTAAAGACACTTAGAGATAGTTTCTATGACTGCTTTCTTACAGATCATATGTTCTTATTTCTTGCATGACTCCTAACTTTCTGTTGAATACTGAATATTTTAGATAACACATTGTAGCAATTCTAGTTTCTCACTTTTCCCTTCTGTTAGTGACCTTGGTTGTTGTTTGTTTTGTTACTTGCCTGGACTAAATCTTTGAAATCTGTATCCTCCACATTGTGCAGTTGTGATATCTCTTCTCACTGTTTTATCCCTTGTTTTTATCTGTAAGTCTGGCTTCCTAGTTGTTGTCCCTGTGTCTGCATAGCTTAGTGATCAACCAGACTTGTCAGAAGTTCCGCTGAAACACCTTGAGACAGTAAGACTTCCAGTCTCCCCTGATGGATCTGGGTATGAGTTTGGGAGCACTATCAAACTTCAGGCTGCTCTAGGTCTTATTTCCTTGTGGGACTTCTCATGTCCCACCTGCACATGCCTGCGGGCTCTGTCAGCTAGGGATATAGAGCCCTCTCTGGTCTCTCTG